GTCAAAGCTGAAAGTGATTAAAACTGTGCTACTGTTCCTCGCTCTGTTCTTGGAACAAAGCTTACTGCTTTCCAGTGGGAAATCTATAATCTCACTCTGTACTGCCCATTCTTTTAGTCTAAACATGTAATAAAACAACTAAGTGTTAGGATCAAGTGTTTATCACTACGCCAAAAACTATAGCTTTAGCGAAGGTACAACTTTATAAGAGCGCTTACCACTACGCTAAAAGCTATAGCTAATACTGAAGGCGCAACTTTATTTCCTTATACTGCCACACATTTTTGAAACATTGGTGCTGGAGCCTCCGCCCAAACAATTCCCCCCACTTGGCTTTTACCGGCCTTCATCCAACAATTTCCTAGCACCGATCAAACAATTACCCCTCCCAACACCAACCAGTCACTTGTCCTGCTCTGAAAATCACTAGTTAGGATCAAACCCGTACCACTACGCCAAAAGTTATAGCTAGTAGCGAAGACTTAACTTTATTTCTTTATATCTTCACACTTTTTCAAGACAGTTGGGTGCTGAAATTGACCTTTTAAGCCCTTTATCGGTCTCCACCCAACAATCCCTGGCCACCAGCATAGACTTGGCCGCCTCCGCCTAACAGAAAGCATACTAAATCACCCAATTCAGTTCTTGAATTGATGTCTCACTTCATAAAGCTATACTATACGGTGTATCTACATATATATTTGACCAAGCAAAAAACTAAAAAATTATGAAAAAAACATTTAATGATTTTCAGAATCTAGTATTACATGTTCATAACCATGTTTGGTAAAATAATTAGCCTATAAGTTAATTTTGACTTATTTGACCACTATTAGCTCTTTGACTTGGTTAAAAAATTAATATAAGGGTGTGTTTGGTTGGCAGGTTTAGCACTCAGGTGGGTATGAAAGTGATTGTTATTGTTTGGTTGACTGGTTTTTAAAATACTACTATGGGTTTGGAATACTCCATTAATGGAAAAACACATTCCTTTATTTTATAAGGGTTTCATCCATTATTCATCTTAGTCTAATCATTTTCATTTCACCCTACTACCAAAATGCAAAATACTTCCACCAAAACCATTTACCATTACCAAGTATTTGATACCCATTCCAATTCCGATTCCCATGTGGCCATGTGCGAACCAAACACACCCTAAGTGTTTGATTAATTAACTTTTTGTAACTCTAAAATACTAAAATTCAAAAAACTACTTAAAACAACTTTTCCAATTAGCATTTTGAAGAAAGAAATTATACCAAACAAACTAACAACTAATTTAACAAACACATTCCTACAATTAGAGAATGTTATTAACTAGTTATACTCTCTAATTAATAGTCTATCAGCTAAGCACCATTTACAAATAGAGACAATGTCTTATACTCCGTAATTGTAACTATTAGAGAGTGGGGTTTAGGGTGATTGACCTCAGCGAAAGTGGAGGAAATGGCGACAAGAAAGGTGGCGGCGGCCCATAGAAAAGAACCGAGAGCGATGACGGTGGCCCGGTTGTGGCGGGCGGCGAGGTAGGCGGCGAGCGGGTAGCAAGCGGATTGGACTATGGATCTGAAGAGTGTGAGGGAGCCCAATCCGGTGGGATCGGTATGCAGGGCCGCTCCGACCTCCTTGTACACTCCCGGCAGCAAGGACTCGTCGGCGCGCTCCATTATTCCGGCGAAGTTGACCAGGACCAAAGTCAACGACTCCGATCTCATCTCCTTCAGCTTCTCCATCGTCTCCGGTGGCGGATAATAGCGAGGTTGACTAGAGAGCTGACACCTTTTGTGTTTGGTCCGACAATGGATATGTGGGCCCAGCTGTCACACGTGTCACGCGTGGGGTACTGAATACTGCCACGTTGACAACCCTGACTAAATCTGATGTGTATTTTTGCTTTTTGTGGAAGTAAAGTGCAATAGAGGAGCTGAGGCATATACATTGTTGATATCAAATACTCCGTATATATTACGGAGTACTATTTAAGAAAAATAGAAAAAAATGGTAAAATAGTTTCGTAAATTTTATAGGAACAGTAATTAGTAAGGGTGGACGTTTCTGTCTTCAGTTCGGTTTTTTGGTTTTAGTTTTAAAAAAATGAAACCATTTAGTTTAACATTTTGAAGAGAAAAGGTAAGGAGAATTTTGGGTGGTTAATATTTTTTAATGTCGTTTAAATATATTTATTGATGGAGGACAAAAAATGGTAATGTCACAAAAATGTTAGGATTAACAGAGATTTTTTTTTTAAAAATGATTAAAAGTGAAATGTCACGCACATATAAATTTACGACAAAAAAAAGGGGTTAACACTTAGAACTAAATAGACCAAAATATCATTATATTTAACGTCATTTAAACAATTTTGTTGATAGCGGACCAACAACGGTCATACCATAATAATACTAGAACCAAAGAAGAATGTTTTGAAAAATAAATTACTAAGAGTGAATTGACACATATGAATCTAGGACAAAAAATGCAATAAATTCTAAATATTTTTAATGTCGTTTAAATATATTTGTTGACGGAAGACAAAAAATGGTAATGTCACAAAAATGTTAGGATTAACAAAGATTTTTTTTTTAAAAGGACTAAAAGTGGAATGCCAGACACATATAAATTTAAGACCAAAAAAGAAAAAAGAGCTTAACACTTAGAACTGAATAGATCAAAATATCATTGTATTTAACGTAATTTAAACGATTTTATTGATAGGGGACCAAAAATGATCATACCATAATAATACTAGGACCAAAGGAGAATATTTAGAAAATAAAAGAGTTAATACCCAAAATCGTCCTCAACTATAGTGGTTTTTCTCAATTTCGTCCTAAACGACTTTGGTGACCTAATATCGTCCCAGACTTTTGTGTTTCGCTCAATTTAGTCCCAGATTTTTGTATTTTTGCTCAATTTAGTCCCTCATTTGTTATTCTGTCCATTTGGTGTTAAATAAATAGACAATTCAGTAATTTTAATATTGGCATCTCTTTACTCATAGACATGTGAACTGCGGAGAAATCCCTTTTTTTTTTTTTTTTTACGAATTACTCCAGAATTAATCCTAAAACTGCGAATATAAAATTTGATTTGCAGGTCCGGGAGTAAATCTGGGTGTAATTTGTACAAGAAAGAGGAATTTTGCACTTCACAAGTTGAAAGTAAAGAGAGATCAATATTAACATTACTGAATTGTCCCTTAATTTAACACCAATTTGACGGAATAACAAATGGAGGACTAAATTGAGCGAAACACAAAAGTCTGGGACGATATTAGGTCACCAAAGTCGTTTAGGACGAAATTGAGAAAAACCACTATAGTCGAGGACGATTTTGGATATTAACTCGAAAATAAAATAACTAAAAATGAATTGACACCTATAAATCTAGGACAAAAAAATGAAATAAATTGTAAAAATTATTGTGTAGAAGATACCATAAATAACACGGACTATTTCTAACTTGATGAGAGGCTAAATTAGAAAATATAAAGGGACTATGGTCCTGATCAAGAGTACAAAAAAATATTTGTTTATCCCCATCAAGAGAGACAATAAGGGCAAATATCAAAATAACGTAAAGCACTTGGCTACGGTTCCATGCATGGCCATTCGTTTAAGTTTGACGCACGAAATTCCAAAGATGGCTTAAAAGTATATAAAGGTTGGCTATCATATATTCATAAAGGTTGAAAATTATAAATTTATTGAAAATTTGTTATAAGTAGACATATATTATCATGTTCGACGGGTTTCTAGATGAAGACGTGAGACAAATTTATAGGCCATCATGTTGGAATTTGTTGATAATTTTTTTTGAATAATGTAATCGACAATGACTATCCAATGACGTGTTGCAAATTATATTTACAATAAGAAAATTCAGTGTGACATTCTCAATCAAGAAAATGTGAGTAAAAATTAAACTTGTGATCTTTTAGTATAAAAATATTCATGCTACACTAATTCGACCAAGGAAACAATTTTTTTGAATATATTATCAGTTGGTATTGATACATTGAACCATGTGCTAGAATATATTCGCACAATTCAATGTAAGCTGCAGACTGCAATTGCGATACAAACTCTATATGTAGTGGTAGTCTTGATAGATGGCGTTTTGATACAAACTCTATATGTGACACTTATAATACCATGTATATATTTTTATTTTTACCAATTATGTTAAATAAAAATATTTTTATACTCATCAATCATCATATATACATTCTTTATGTATTCGATCAATTTCATTATGGCATGTATATACTTTTTATGCTATTGTTACATGCCATTTTCAAACTTGTAATTCAATGATGTTTATAATTGTCAACATATTTTAAATTAACTACTTAATTTATTTTATTTGGAATTTCTTTTTTAATCAAAATCTATAGATAACTATTCCTAGCAATCTAGCATATATACTGATGCTAAACTTAATATTATGAAAGCAAATTGAATTTTAAATAATTTTAGTCAAGTCTTGTGAAGTGAATTATACATAAAAAATAAGACCGCAAAAGTAGTTAATAAGACTCCCACTTCAAAAAAAAGTATATACATCTTGCATCTCTAGCATCTGTAATATTTTAGTTAAGAACTGGTTAGCGAAATGCTGCCACGTTCTTCACGAACAAAATTTTGTTGCTAATTGGATGGCCAAAAACTGTGACAATGAGTGGGATCTGATGTTGTTTCCGTCCAGCCCGTCGGGAGAGCTTGTTGAGTGGCTTCAACGGAATCAAACTGGAATTCCTTACACTCGAGGAGATTAGTCTTTTGATTAGTTTTTCTATTTAGAGCTAAGCCGCCCTTCTTTCCTTCCAAAAAATAAAAAGTAAAATTAAAAAGTTGATGTATAATTACACGATAAAGGCATCAAGGGAGCCGATGAATTTGTATATATATATATAATATCATTGAAAGAGACTAGTGGGCACATGTTCAGTGAATTTGTCACTATATATATATGTGTGTATCCCTGCATGCGTAGTTAATCACATTACAATCGTCCAGCTAAATATTCAGTGAGTACAATTCATATGGCAGAAATTGAAAATAAGAGTGGAGATGGGAGGTGGTCACTTAAGGGCATGAATGCCTTAGTAACCGGCGGCACCAAAGGCATAGGGTATGATGTAATTTAACATATATACTATAATTATAAAAATTCAAGCTTTAATTTCATTTTTGGTATATATATACAATTTTTTTTGGGGTTTTCCTAATTTAATTTTTGTGCACAATTCAGGTATGCTATAGTAGAAGAATTGGCAAGTTTTGGGGCGACCGTTTATACGTGTTCGCGTAAACAAGAGGACCTCGATAAATGCTTTCAAGAATGGAAGAATAAAGGATACAAAGTAATGGGTTCAGTATGTGATTTGTCATCCAGACCCCAACGCCAACAGCTAATGGAGAAAGTTGCTGATTATTTTGATGGAAAGCTCCACATTCTTGTAAGTTTATCTAAGTGCAGTAGGTCAAAAGGGGTGGTCAATTGGGTGGAATATAATTTTTGTACCAGATAAAAAATCACGATTCTTGTCAATACCTTTTTAACTAATTAAATTCGTCGCATGGGTCTTTAATTTCTAGCGCGATTTATCTCTCTGATCTTGTGTAATATAATTTGCGTGTTATTACACATGTTTGAAATAGTGGGTGCGTTTTGGTTTTACTTTATTAGGTGAATAATGCTGGAACAACTATTACAAAGCAAGCTACAGATTTCAGTGATGAGGATTACTCAGTGATAATGAATACTAATTTTGAGGCATCCTACCACCTTTCTCAACTTTCACACCCTCTTCTAAAGGCAACCGGACATGGAAGCATTGTATTTATCTCTTCTGTTGCTGGGCTTTTGGCCGTGCCTTTTAATTCTCTCTACTCTGGATCCAAAGGTAATTCATCAATCAGCTCATTTACTACCATGTACTGTGACGGCATCCCAGAAAGTATAGAATAGATACTATTTTGTTAAGAATCATACCTACGACCGTATCTATTTAGAATGGTAACCGAGATGCCATCACAGTACATGGTAATTGGCAAAATAGATATGTATTTAATCATGCAATGTGTGATATTTACTAGTACGTAGTACTATTATATTGTTTGTGTTTCGATGTGAATAATGTAGGGGCAATAAATCAAGTGACAAAGAGTTTAGCATGCGAGTGGGCAAAAGACGGTATTCGTGTTAATGGTGTGGCTCCATGGATCATCGAGACTCCACTTAGTGCTGCAGTGAATGTAACAAATTAATTTATTATTGAATATCTGTATTAAATATATACAATATTTGTATGGTTAATTATATTATTTACTGAATTAAAGTGTTGTTTGTTTTGCATGCAGACAGCTTTTAAGGCAGGAGAGGTAGAGGGCGTAATAGAAAGAACTCCAATAAGCAGGGCAGGAAAGCCTAATGAAGTTTCATCACTTGTTGCCTACTTGTGTTTACCAGCTGCTTCTTGGATTACTGGACAAATCATCTCTGTGGATGGAGGCAAAACTGCCAATGGCTTTTAATTTTATATCATTATTATATTATTATTAATATTATTATTGCTCTTCTCTTTACAATAAGTCAATAACGTAATATAATAATGCTTGTGTGTGTGTATTTCAGTCACATATTATAGGCTAGGGTTCTAATTGTATGATTATTATAATTTCAATCTTATTCAATAATATAATAATCTAAAGAATGTAATCTAATACTTTCATTTTGAGCTTTGTAGTCATTTGTTAGTGGGTTATATATATTATGTTGTTGGTGGATTATCAAAAGAGATTTTTTTTTTTTTAATGCTATTAACTCTATTACTAAGGCTCGAACACACAACCTCCCATATAAGAGTTAACTTTGGTGCCATTTGACCACAAGGTCTTAGCCAATAAGATCATTTTTGTTTATTCATATTTTTCTTTTGTGATTTTTCATGTTTCAACCGGTTTAATTGGTTTAGATTTTTACTAAAAATCTATTGAAAAATATTGTTACTAAAAATCAGAGTTTACCTAAAGTTTAAAACCAATTAAATTTGCTGAAACTGGAAAATAACAAAAGAAAAATAAGAAAATTGAGATGGCAATGCAACGTTGACTTTGAAAATGGTACCATTAATCGGGCAGATTGTTAGAAAGATGACATTAGGGGAAAATGAATTGTCATTTCATGGGAAAGGAATAATGTGAATAAAGTAAGAATTTATGTTCAATTGTTTAGTTGGCAGGAATAGAATTATTGAGAATTTCAAATATAGTATTTGATATATAAGAATTGAAAGGGAATGAGTGATATAAAAACTAAAATGTCCTTATATAATACTTTGTAATAATAAAGATTTGTGTAGGGTTAACAAAACAAGAACAAAATTGTCTACACATTCTTTTGTTTTTTTTTTTTTTGGTTTGTTTTTTTTCCATTGACATGGAATTTCTATTCCTAAGGGGAGGGGTAGGAATATAATTTTTATTCTATGAAAGGAGGAATTGCAATTCTCTCCTGGCAAACTATAAAATTTTACAAGCTCAAAAATTATATTGTAAATGAATTATAATTCCATTGTACCAAACATGCAATTCAAGTACAATGCAGTTAAATAAAGCAACCCCATCACTGTATCCCCGTCAGAGTTTTTTGTCAGAATATATATAAAAAACAAAATTAAATATAAAATAAATAAAAGAGGATGGTCGTCAGTTGGTGACCACCCTCAACGCGCCCACTGTGTACCGGTTATTTCATTTCTTAATTTTTTTTGGTGGGATAAATTTTTTGAGAAAAAAATAACCATTCTTCCTGTAAATGTAACTGCTTATGGTGATACTCTTAGTAAATGTCATATGAAAAGAAAAAAAATTCAAATTGCTATTCAACAATTATAAGAACTACTAGCCGTAGACAACTCATCAGTTAATTGATAATATATTTTATTATTAAAAATGGGGTATTAATCATAGCCACATCACACATGGGAATAAAATGGCAAAGTTGTCAGCATTGACAGCTCAGTTAGTTACATACTCACATAGGTAAAGTTTAAAAAGAATGATCAGGAATTGAGTCTTACTAACCACACAAGCAGTGTGAGAGTAATCTCTATTGAGTTACCATGATTTGGGAAGAATGAAATGGCAAAGTTGACTTTGAAAATGCCAAATTAAAGTTGCACTCACATACATACAGATCGAATCCAAGAAACAACGGAGAGATCGAGATGGCTTCTGCTGCTTTGACTTCTCTCATTGCAACTCTAAATTTTGAGATGGAAAGGGTTCCTCCTCACCTCCGAAAAACCTCTCTTTCTCTTTCTACGACTCTTGATTCCCGGCCTGTTCTTAAAAAACTGGAGAATTGGCGATGGTGTTGCTGCTGCTGCAATCAAAGATTTGGAAACCAAAATCAGAGACTTTGCAGTACTCCAACTCGAAGATGACTTTGAAACACAACTAAGCAACTTTCTTCATGTCTTTAACACCGAGTCCAGAGAAAAAGCTTCCAACCAAATCTCCCACATCTTGAAACAAGCAGAAGATAATGCACAAGTGTTGTTAAGTTTGGTCAACAGAAACATCTACCGATCTTTTGTGGCCAGTGAATTTCAACCTCCTCCTCGGTTAAAACATGCTTCTTCCTCCTCCTCCTCGTCTAAGACCAAGAGAGTTTTTGAGGAGTACAAGATGGTGGGACGTCAGCATGACTATGGAGTGATAAAGGACCGGCTTTTGAGTCGAAATGATAAACTTAAAGTCATCTCAATCGTTGAAATGGCGGGCATCGGTAAGACAACTTTAGCTGTAAATCTCTATGAAGATCCACAAGTTGCATCACATTTCAAGGCACGAGGTTGGGTTACAATGCGTCAAGAATTCGACGAGAGCCGATTGCTTTGGGACCTTCTTGGGTCAATTACTCAAGAAGAGCAGGATGAAGATGAAAAGGGAAGCTGCAGTCTTAAAAGCCTAGCACAACAGGTACGCAAATGCTTGTTAGGCCAGAGGTATCTAATTGTTTTGGATAATTTTTGGAAATTAAGAATGTGAATATATCCAAGAATGTTTTCCACATGATGATACAAATGGGAGTTGCATATTGCTAACATCTAAGTACTTAAAGTCTGGGTATTTCAAACCTAGCCCAAATGATTATGTTCATAAGATGACTTTGCTAGGTCCAAATGAATGTTGGGATTTATTTTGCAATATCCTTTCTCTTAAGGGATGTGTGGCATCAAAATTTGAAAAAATTAGGGTTGATGTGTTGGAGAAATGTGATGGACTACCACAATCAATTGTTGTAGTTGCAGAACGTCTATCTAAATGCAATATCATTCTAAAGGAATGGAAGAAAGTTGAAAAGGAACTAGAGTTACTTGGACCTCTAGATCGTAGGGAACTTACTCACCATTACAATCAATTGCCACACCATTTGAAAGTTTGATTTCTGTATATTGCCGTCTTCCCAAGGCGAAGTAAAATCCAAGTCAAAGTGCTTATAAGGTTATGGATTGCAGAGGGATTTGTAAAGCGTTGGTTGTCGCATGATGTGTTAGAAGATGTGGCCTATTTTTATTTGGAACAACTTATTTTAAATAGTTTTCTCTTAATAGACAATCAAAGTTCTAATGGAAAAATCAAGACATGTAGGATGCATAGTGCTTTGCATAAGAGAAGCTCAGAAAGAGGGTATTTTCTGTGCACTAAATATTAGGAAACAGCCAACAGGAGTACCATTTAAAGTGTTTGCAAATTCGTGTCGTTGGCTAAGTTTATACTCACATAATTTTGACTATTATGTGCTCTTTAGAGAAAACAATTCTCGCTCCATCTTATTCTTTCATGGAGAACCAGAAATGTTTATATCTTTTAAGCTGTTAAGAGTGTTGGCTTTTGTTCCATCTTCATTCCTTCAAAGAGCGCCAATGCATTTATCAGATTTAGTTTTTCTAAGATACTTATCTGTAACACAATGGTTTGAGGGTCTGGACTGTATAGTGTCAACTAATCTGAATTTGCAAACACTTGTTGTTTCTAGTAATGAATCACAACTTGGAGCAAATACTATCCATCTGCCATGTGAAATCTGGGACTTACCGCAGTTGAGGCATCTTGAACTTGGTAATATATATGCCCTAGATCTTCCATTCCGTATGGACGATAGAAAGAATTTACAAACATTATCTTGGGCGAGTTCAACTCTTTACGAAAAGGAAGCATATTGCAATTTTCCAGACCTAAGAAAACTGAAAATTTTTTATGGAGCTGGATCTTGCAGCAATAATAATCCCCTTATGTTGGATAGTATTGACTATTTGGAAAAGCTTGAGAAGCTAACAATTTCAGTTTTTGTTGGCTGCACTATAACCCTTCCATCAGAACAATGTATGTTTCCTTTACAATTGAAGAAGTTAAGGTTAAGTGGGACTAATCTTCGTAGTTGGGATTTAATTGTAATTAGCATGTTGCCCCAACTTGAAGTGCTAAAGCTGAAAAATGCTATCCATGGAAACATATGGGAAGTAGATAAAGGAGGATTCAATAAGTTGAGATTCTTGCTCATCGAAGATAGAAAACTCGAACAGTTGAGGACTTATTTAAGTTGTTTCAAATGTCTCGAGCGCCTAGTTCTAAGGTTATGCTGTTGTTTGGAAGAAATCCCTTGGTTTCTTGCGTTTCACTTGCAGTCAATTGAGTTGGAGCGATGTTACCCTTCTCTTATTGAAGCTGCTATGCAAATTCGAGAACCAGGAAAGAAAATTTTAAAGCGTAGGATTGAGGTTAAAGCTAATTAATTTATTATTTCATATTTAATGCTCATTATTTTCTTTACAATAATAAATTTTTGCTATTTTTATTTTTATGATCTTATGTCCTTGTTTTTGCATTACTTTTCATAGATCATAATCCGCCCGGAGACCTGAATATGATGAGTCACAAAATACACATATAATGGAAGTTGTAGAAGACGACTTCGCCAGGCCGCCGGCATATAGAGGCAGGGACGGAGGGAGAGGGGGGGCAGGGGGGCGGCTGCCCCCCTCACCCCACCCCCACCCCCACCCCATATATAGTATTTGTATTTATATATGTATATATAGTACATGTTTTAGTATTTGTATAAAAAAAACTATAAAATATTAACAAGAAGGGAGTTAGAGTGGGTGGTAGAGCATATCTTTAGTAATAATGAGGTTAAGGGTTCCAATCTTAGCATCAACATAATTTTACAATTCTTTTTAATAGCTTTTTTAATATTACACACACACTCTATAATAAGATGTGTAATTTATAATGTGTTTTCTATTCAAATTATTTTATTAATTATGTTTCATATTTTGTTATGAATATTTTTATAAAGTTTCGATGTGTTCTATTAATTATCAACATAGTTTTACAATTCTTTTTAATAGCTTTTTTAATATTACACACACACTCTATAATAAGATGTGTAATTTATAATGTGTTTTCTATTCAAATTATTTTATTAATCATGTTTCATATTTTGTTATGAATATTTTTATAAAGTTTCGATGTGTTTTATTTTTCGTCCATATCCAACAATATTTACAATTATATTTCTTAGGTAGTTTATTTATTTATTTTTAAATTATCTCTTTTGTTTTAATGTTTCGCCTTTTCTGAAAAAAATTTCTGAATCCGTCTGTACTGTTTCGCCCCCCTCAACCGAATTTCTGGCTCCGTCCCTGTATAGAGGCCGGGAATAAGTGTGAGGCTACTATACATACATCCATCTGCATTTACATTTGCACCGTAACCCAAATTTCATTATGGAATCATAGGCATTGTATTGTAATGACGGTGTTTATTCTGTCAACAAATGGTTTGTGACAAGCAAAATAACAGACATTTTATCACAAATTTATTGTTATTTTGGATATCGGTTGATTTTTCATGATTTACGTACATAACTTTCTGAAGGCATCTTTGTGTTTACTTTTACTAATATAATTATAATTATATTATTGTGGGTACATTAATAAAAAAACGAAAAATAAAACTAGACAATTAATAAATAAATGATGATAAAATATTTATACAAACTATAAAAATGTTACGAGCATTTATATTAAATATCTATACTTTTTCAGTTGAATACAATACGTAATACAATAATATTTATGCACTTTTTAAATTTCAAATGTTAATACATGTGCAATCATTATTTAATAATATTAAATACACGGTGCGCAAAAAATAAATGTTAAATACTAATAATCAATGTAAATTCGTAGTTATATTGAGATTTTAATGACGATTGGCAGGCTCAATTTGCCACTCGGCTTTGGTGGATCTGGCAATGGAGGAATGATGGATTTTTAACAGGCAGATTCCCACTTTGAAAAATAAGTTGGATTGGCTCACGAGATATGATGTGGAGGTCAAAGCAGCGTTTGCTAACCGCATTCACCCGGAGAAAACTGTAGCTCGAACCGAGACCACGTCGATTGGCTGGCAAAAGCCGAGTGCTGGTTGGCGCAAGTTGAACATCGACGACCGTCGGAAGGGGGACGTCACGGCGAGTTGCGGGGGATTGATCAGGGATGAACATGGTAATTGGTGTGGGGGTTTCACCGCTTACATCGGAAGATGCCAAGTCATGGAGGCAGAAGCTTGGGGGTCCTGTATGGCCTCCGAATAGCTAGAGAGTGTGGGGTGACAAAGCTTCTAGTTGAAAGTGATTCCAAAACGCTTATAGATGCTCTGCGTGGAGAAGCTAGTGAACAAGAGTCAGGCTGTAATATCATCTGGAGATGTTTGAGAGAAGCTGAAATAATGCAGGAGTTAAGTTTCGTGCATGTCCTTCGAGAGGGTAACAAGGTTGTAGATTTTTTAGCAAGGGAGGCCTTCACTCACCAGGTGGGTTTTCGAGCCTTAACAGAAGCACCAGATGAGGCTCAGGAACTCATTCGGCATGATCAAATGGGTGCAGCTTTCGTCAGATACATGTGATTTTTTGGGTGTCCCCCTCCTTACTGATCCAAAAAAAAAAATACTAATAATCAATGTAAATTCGTAGTTATATTGAGATTTTTTTTTTAAATAGTTATATAGGAGTACATTCTCTCTTGAACCATCCCCTATACATATTTTGGGTAGATTTCATGAATCCTCAATTATTGATCTAACCAAATTGATTGATCATATTAGTTTGCACTTTTTACTTTAGAAGTTCCCACCTAAACCCTTCCATATATGACTTATGATCCCATGAGAATACACCCCTAAAAAAAAATTAAGAACCAATTTTAGTCTTACATCCGTAAAAATTCGATGAATCTGATTAGATTTAAAAAAAATGCGGTTGCATTTTATTAATTATCACCAACTCCACTTTGCAAACTTGAACACTTAACAACTAAATATGCAAACCCGGATAAATTTTAAAAATCAATTAAAAAATAAATTTTAAATCTGAACCGTAAATGCTAGACCCTATGCAGTAAAAAGTGAACTCTTAAACCAAATAAAACCAAAAACTCAGTCATAAACTCTAAAATCGAAACCATAATTGCAATGCACTTTCGTATTTTTGCAAGTGCAAACTTTTAATACTAAATGTGTAATACTACAATTGTCAATATTAAATGTGCAAACCCGAAAAATGTTGAGAAGTATAGATTTTAGTGTTCAAATTTACATAGTAAAGTTAGTGATAATTACAAAAATACCACTACATTTAAAAATATATATATAATCTAATCCGCCTAATTTAGTTTTTTCAGACGTAAGGCGCGCGCGCACACACACACACACATATATATATGCGCACTCCTGTGAGAATTGCTTCCCAGGAGAGAATTAGGAACTACTCCGAACCATCAATTTATAAAGATTAACATATCAGATATAATTAAAAAATGTGATGACATTTTTGTAAATAACTTGGACTTTGAAGTGCAAGTAACATGTGCTAAAATTGCGAGTAACAAGTGCAAGTGTGCATGTAATATTTTACTTAAATGTGCAACAATTTATACTATATAGTACAAGTAATTTACTTTCCACAGTGATACAATTAATGATAACGTTAGATACACTTAATATTGTTGTTTGTGTGTACTTTGTATTGTTACACTATATTAAGTTATTATTTGTACTTTAAATACATTTTAGTATTTTACTTGTACTATTGTTGCATTTTATAAATCCGTTGCACTTCAAAATTCGAGTGATTTAAAAAAAAAAAAATTGCCAGTAATTTGTTTAAATTTCTTTTGATTTGTTAGATATTTCTAGATGGACGAATTTTGATTGGTTCCTTGTTCTCTTCCGCCCGGCAGACTATCGGTGGTTGGAAAGTTAGATTCACGCTGTTATCAAAGTGACCAAATTTTTTGACCACTAAAAAAAGTTGTCAGTAGTCAAAATTATCGAGGATTTAAAAAAAAAAATAAAAATTTGTGGTTGCAGATCACATAAGTGGTAATGTATAAGTTGAACACTAATTCAATGTTAGGCATAATTTGTCTTGTCAAGACTAATTCCGCTTATAAAACGGGACCATCTTAGAATAATGAACTGGGATAATATATTTTATGAGTTAAAATAATATACTTTATATGTGTTAGAATAATGAAATTTTTGTGGTAAGATAATATATATTATGAGTTAGAATAATATACTTTATGTGATGTTAGAATAATGTATTTTATGAGTTAGAATAATGTGTAATGTATTTTATGTGTTAGAATAATGAAAATTTTGGAGTAAGATAATGTATTTTATGAGTTAGAATAATGTACTTTATATGTTTTTGGACTGTGGTCCACGCAATTATGATTGCAATTCATCTACATGATGAGCCGGCAAAAAGCACATACATGAGTTAAAGCAAGGCAAATTTTTATGTTAACCATGGTCTACACAGTGTTGTGTATATTAAAAGTACATTATTTGAATACTGAATGTATATATTATTTGATAGTATACAAAATAATATATTTTCAGTACTCAAATAATATCTTTTCAAAAAATATGTATACTTTTAGTACTCAAATAATGTATTTTCCATGAATACAAAGGTACATTTTTAATATACTAAAAATACATTATTTCAATATTCAAATAATATACTTTCGGCCGGTACTCAAATAATGTACTTTCTATGAATACAATGTATATTTTTAATATTCTAAAAGTACATTATTTATATACTGAATGTACATAATTTGATAGTATACAAAATAATGTACTTTCAGTATTCAAATAATGTACTTTCCATGAATACAAGCTCATTACTCTTGATATTATTAAAAACAATGTTTACTTTAGTATCAATAATTATAAAATTAGTCAATTTAACTTATGTATTATTAAAAATAGAACAATTAAGTAAAATTAGTAACAGTATTAGTTAAACTGCCACGCATGAAGCTTGCTTATGTGACTAAATACATGACACATGATGTAATTGTCAAATCACATGTTTTTGTTTTTGTTTTTTTGAAGACATCAAATCAGTTGTTAATAATATGATATCATAAAATGCTTAAAATACCACTAACAAGAATTCAACTTGTAATATTAAAATTAGAATACTAATAACTTATTCAAACTCTAAATCTAGTCCAATAAGATATCTTACAATTTGAGATGTTTGTTAAAATATTAATACAAGATAAGAAATGTTAGGGAAAAATTTTCTTATTACATTTTTAGAAAAACTTAAAATAATATATTACCAGATTTGTAAAGGTATAACTAATCAAAATGCTTTTCTCTTATATATAATTCTAATTATATTATACAAGCCTAAAGATTTTTTATTATTTTTTTTTTTCAAAACATGCATTTTTATTTATATTTTGTACAAAAGCCCACCAATATAGTTGGGATTGTTACACGATGGATCATGATACACCTTGCAAGATGAACCAATTCAAGCAATTTAATCTTTTTTTTTTCAACTTAAGTTTATTCTATTGTTTTTTTTTTTTTTTTTTTTGTACCAATAAAATTAATATATATAAATTTCATTAAGATATTTCAAATGACCCCATATTTGTATTTTTATTTTAATATTTTAAATTAATATGCGATTATATTAAGTCATTACATTAGGTTCATTTTCAATATACTAAAGATTCATTTTCAAAATATTGTAGGCTTTTTTTTTGCAATTCTACAAGTTCATTTTATCAATATTGCAAGTCTATCAATCAACAACTAATATTCAAAATATATTAATATGTGTATATATTATTCAAAAGATATCAATATGACATTTTTAATAATGTATTTTGTAACATTGGTTTTATTTATACAAAAAAAAAAAAATCTGTGTAAATGATAGTAGACAAATTAATGTAATTTTAATAAACTTATAGTATTGTTATAATGAACCTACATATATAATTACAATAATGAACTATAGTCAATGATACTTTATAATGAACCATGGTCCATGATACTTTTCAATTCATCTCTAACTTATAGGATAATTGTAGGATTTGTTCTTACTTGTTGGTCGTGCTCACTTCTTATTCATAAACTATAACTTACGTTGCAAATTTCGTCCCTAATGTTTTGTTAGAAAAAAATGACGAAATTTGTAACATCAGTTATATAAGTTAGGTGCGAGAAGTAAACACGACCAATAAGTAGAGACAAATCCCATAATTACTCTACAACTTAGCCACTTAAGAAGTAAAATCACAATTTTTCCTATTTTAATTTATATATCAAAATAATAAAACATATATGCCTAAAGTTCCCAGAGATGACCTTTCTAGCTAGAGTAGTAAAGTTGGTCACGAAATCTTCCAAAGTTGGCCTGATAGTAAGTAAAGGTTGGCTATCATATGCACATCTAATTTTACTATATAACTGTCAATGTGTTATAATGCTAATCAACATTAGCTAAAGGTTTTGTACGTGAGCTCATATATAGAGATCAAATGGCAGAAATTGAAAATAAGAGTGGAGATGGGAGGTGGTCACTTAAGGGCATGAATGCCTTAGTAACCGGCGGCACCAAAGGCATAGGGTATATATGTATAGATCTAAATTTAGTGTTACAAAATTTTCGCCTAGGCACCAATTAATCGGCGCTTAGACGCTAGTTGCTGGTCGGCCGGATAGGACGCCTAAGCACCGCCTAGACTGCTTAGGTGTTGACCGTCTAGGCTTCCTAGACACCGACTAGCCGCTAGTCGGCCGATTAGCTATTATTCTTTTTTTTTTAAGGGTTATTTCACTCAAAATCATATCATTTTGAGCTAAATAAACCTAAATTGTTCAAACTCTAGATATTTTTTATGTTAATATTTAATATTTTAATATTAACTATTACAGTATTAAATAATTTATAATTATTAGTTTTTAAAAAAAAATTAAAACACTTAAAAAATATATATATACGGGTGTCTAGATACCGATTAATTGCTACTTAGACGCTACGCGCCCTCCGACCGCCTAGCGATTTTTTCAACGATTATGTAATATAGAAAGAATGAAGTTTTTGAGTTTTCATCTTTGGTGTATTACAAATTAGATGTATCTTTTGTTTATTATATATTTAAAAAATACTCCCTCCGTCCCGAATTGGATGTCTCATTTACTTTTTGCACGCTTTTTAATGAATCAAAAGTAAATGTTATGCACTTTCCAATTATGCCCCTCACTTTTTCACTTTTGGAAATAAAAACAATAAAGAAAGCAAAAGCTAGAAGGGTAATTTGAAAAAAGTAGAATGATGGTGATGTTCAATTTTAGAAAGTGGACAACATTTTGGGACAAACTAAAAAGGAAAGTAAGACACATAAAATGGGACAGAGGGAGTATTTGTGTATTAGGTATGCTATAGTGGAGGAATTGGCAGGTTTTGGTGCAACTGTTTATACATGCTCTCGTAAACAAGAAGACCTGGATAAATGTATCCAAGAATGGAAGAGCAAGGGTTACAAGGTAACAGGGTCAGTATGTGATTGTTCATCTACCCTTCAACGCCAGCAGCTAATGGAGAAAGTTGCAGATTATTTTAATGGGAAGCTCCACATTCTTGTAAGTTTGACTAAAATTAGTTAATTAATTAAATTAAATGAATTTGAAAGGAAATATTTGTTGGGCAGAGGCCGGTGAAGGGCTAAATTCAGCACCCGTCTAGTCTCTTGAAAATGTAGCGGGAAATAAATACTGCTGGAAATTATAGAATTTCTGACCACCTAAAAGTAATCTTAAATCAAGTTGAAAGCAAAAAGTGGTCGGAAATAGCAACAAAGGTTTTTCTGGATACCAAAAATGGTCGGAACAAGGCTTTCGACTTGATTTAAGATCACTTTCAGGTGGTCGAAAATTCCATAATTTCTAGTAGTGAAAGTTGCGTCTTCGCTACTAGCTATAGCTTTTGGCGTAGTGATTATTGCTTGATCCTAATAAGTGGTATCAGAGCTAGGTCATGGGTGCAGAAGAATTGGAAATAATGGTAAGCGCTTGATTGTAACAATATAATATTTTGGTTTGATTTTAGGTGAACAATGCTGCAACAGCTTTTCCAAGGAAAGCTACTGATTCCACTGCTGAGGATTACTCAGTGATTATGAGTACCAATTTTGAGGGACCCTATCACCTCTCTCAACTTTCACACCCTCTTCTAAAGGCAACTGGAAATGGAAGCATAGTGTTTATCTCTTCTGTTGCTGGGCAATTTGGAGTGCCTACTCTTTCTCTCTACTCTGGATCCAAAGGTAATTCAAAATATTATCCATGCAAAATATATGATAAAGATTGATATCTTGGCCTGGCCTATTATAGATTATAGTTTATATTTTGGATGGTATGAATATAATACAGGAGCAATTAATCAATTGACAAAGAGTTTGGCGTGTGAGTGGGCTGAAGACGGTATTCGTGTTAATGGTGTGGCTCCATGGTTCGTTGAGACTCCACTTTATCAAGAACAGGCTATAAGAAATTAAATTATTTTCGACCTGGTATCTAAATTTGTAATTTAATTTAATTTCTCTATTAAGTATATTAAATTGTTGTTGTTTGTTTTGAATAATTGAATTGGTGCAGCCAGCTTTTACAGTAGTTGCAGAGAGAGCATTAGAAAGAACTCCAATAAGCAGGGAAGGAAAGCCTAATGAAATCTCATCACTTGTTGCCTACCTGTGTTTACCAGCTGCTTCTTGGCTCACTGGACAAATTATCACTGTGGATGGGGGCAAAACTGCCTATGCCTTTTAGTTATCCACTTCAGTCATGAATGTGTTATTGAAATAATGGCTTTTTTTTAAAAAAGTTTGTTTATTGTCACTGTGTCTGTCTGATGGTGGAAATCCTGGGTATACCCAAAAAAGAAGTTTGTTTGATGTGGGTGTCTTATATATTTAGGAATAACATTGTGTGCCTGTCGCACTAGACATTGTGAAGAGAAGTATTAAAAAAATCCCATATTTTATGATATGGAGAGTCTATTAAATAAATGTTGTATTTAATTTGAGCGTATCAATAATATACTTTTTTTTAGAGCTTCAAATAGTGATAGAGCAAGAAAATTTTCATTAGGGGGACAAGACATTGCTTTGCAACGACGATGTTTATTCTGTCAGCAAATGTTTTGCGCGCGATAAGTAAAATGACGACATAAATTTTAATCACAATTCTATCATTATTTTGGATTGTGATGAGTTTTTCAAGATTTACCTATATAAATTTTATAGGCATTTTTTTTAATGTTTTCTTGTACTAATATAATTATAATTATATTATTGCGGATACGATAATTAAAAAAAAAATAATAAAACTACACAATGAATAAACAAATGATGATAAAATATTTGTACAAAATATAAAAATGTTACATTTGTATTAAATATCTATTTTGTTTGTTGAATACAATACTACAATAATATTTATGGACTTTTTAAATTTCAAATTTGAATACATGTATAACTGTGATCAAGTGGCCGGTATGACTACAACTCTTTCAAATGAGAAGTTATAGGTTTGAATCTCAATAATATATTATAACAAAATTAATAATACTAAAAAAAATGCATGTATAACCATTATTTTAATACTGGGAAACGCTTTCCACTGCACTGCAGAAACCACACAATTTTTGTCACTCTTGACGTGAGACTATTTTTGTGTAGTTAATTTTTTCTAATTTTTTTTTAAATTTAAATGGAAGAAAATATTCTTCAAGATTCCTTATTTGTAATTTTTGATGCTCAACTTTGAATGATATGTAATTAGTTGGACTAATTATTTGATCAAAGTTACGTTAATGTTAAATTTTATATTTTAATTTGTTAATACACTCTAACAATATTCGTACTTCAACAATTATGTCAATTCTGGTTAGAATGAGGTCCGAACCTAAGACCTTCCTTATATAAATGAATAAGTTAAAGAACAATAAATATTTAACGAAATATTTCGTTACTAAAGTTTATACTAACAGAATGCGGGGGACCAAGGATGTTGTTACCATGATGAGCCAATTGGACAATGTAGTTTGATGGCATTCCGATTTAAGAAAGTATAGAACATATACTACCTGGCCTCATTAAGAATCATACTTATGACCGTACTTATTCGGAATGGTAATCGGAATGCCATCATGTATTACATTGTAATTAACAAAATAAATATTTATTTAATCATGCAATGTGTGATATTTACTAGTACTTACTATTATATTGTTTGTGTTTCAATGTGAATAGTATAGCGGCAATAAATCAAGTGATAAAGAGTTTAGCATGCGAGTGGTCAACTCTGTGGGTGGAGGCAAAACCGCCAATGGCTTTTGATATTATTATTATTGCTCTTCTCTTTACAATAAGTCAATAACTTAATATGATAATGCTTATTGTGTGTATTTCAGTCACATATTATATAGGCTAGGGTTCTGATTGTTTGATTAGTATAATTTGAATCTTATTCAATAATAATCTAAAGAATGGTTTTGTTCAAAGAATCTTATTTTAACATTGGAGATACCCTAGGAACTAGCGGTAGACAACTCAATTAATGATAATATATTATTAAAATTAAAATATTTTAAAAAAGGGTACATAGGTGTAAATCATGGTAACTCAACTGAACATGAACCACAGAGGTTAGACCGGTGCTGATTGCGCACAAGGAACCCCCCTCACTTTGAGAGGTAGTTCTCACATTGCCGCTAGTGAGACTCGATCCCTGGTCATTCTTCCAAAGTTTCACCTCTGTGACCAGTTGAGTTGCCCATGCGGGTGTACGTATTAATCATTCTTCCAAAAGGTTGAACCCCAACCCTAAGGGCCCCCTACACCCCGGCCCGACAGAGCATTTGGGAGGATGTAAATCATGGTGACTCAACTGAACATGAACCACAGAGGCTAGACCGGTGCTCACTGCGCACAAGGAGCCCCCCTCACTTTGAGAGGTTGCTTCCACACTGCCGCTGGTGAGACTCGATCCCTGGTCATTATGTACGTATTAATCATAGCTAGCCACATGGGAGTGAAATGGCAAAGTCAACTTTGAAAATGATACCATTAACTGGTTAGATGGTTAGAAAGATGAAATTAGGAGTGAAACGAATTGTAATTTCATGAAAAAAGAATAGTGTGAATAATGTAAAAATTTAAATTCAATTGTTTAGTTAATAGAAATAGAATTATTGAGAATTTTAAGTGTAATGATTGGTATATAAAAATTAAAAGGAAAATAATGATATAAATATTAAAATATTCTTATATAATAATAATAATAATAATAATAATAATAATAAAGATTTTGCGTAGGGTTAAAATATCTACACATTTTGTTTCCATTGACATGGAATTTCTATTCTTATGGGGAGGGATGGAAATTTTTATTCCATGAATGGCAGAATTACTGAAATTGTACCGTGATACTTGAAATATAAAAGATATGTGTTTTTATACGTTAATTGAGTTAAGCACCAATTTAGTTAATTAATTAAACTCGTTTAAGCAAGTATAAATAATAACTGCAGAAAGCATAAATAAAAATAAAAACACAAGGAAATTGTTACGCAGTTCGGAGCTCCTTCTCCTACGTCTGCCCAATCCACTATAGATGTTCACCAAAGGAGTATTACAAGAGGTAATTGAATACGGCCTCCAGCCTTTACCACTACCACTCTTTCTAACACCTATCCAGGATTGACACACGAATACCCAAACAATCTTCACAAGATGCTTCAGCAGTACCACGTACTGATCGTGCAGTACAATATAAATATTCTACGAATTAAATCAGAAATTACATTTAACGTATAAATGCTTCGTAAAATCTGAATAGCTCTTACAATGTATATCACTTAAATTTGCCGTGTCTTCATTTGAGCAGCACTCTTTTATAGCACTTCGTGAGCTCCCTTTGAGATCCCCAAATGTAGCCATTTTTCTAGCTCTTCCTTGTTCGAATAAGCCACAGCCACACATTCTATTTCTTTGAAATCTTCACCTGTAGACTTTATTCACCCGGGGACACCATCCACTTATTTTGTAATCACATGGTCCAAAAGTGAAATAATTCTAACAACAATAATTTAATTAAAACTAAAACTAATAAGACAAAAAATAAAATAGCCAATATTGTAAAAATATTTTACACTTACAATCTCCCCCTTTGGCATTTTATTTGGGAAAACTTGAGTATCAAATACTTTGGGCAAGAATCAATTTAATTTTATTTATAGCCCGTAGTATAGGTACTTAACAGGACACAAGATATAAAACCAAAAATAACAACTTAAATTCTTTTTGGACCATTTGTGAATAAAGTACCTGATTGGAATTCTTCAAGTCTTGGATCACACACAGAAGCATTGAATTCATAGCATACCACATCATATAATAACTTGTTCATGTGAGAGTAGCATAACCCGAAACATCCATTCAACTTGTTTAGATGCACCAAACAAAACTAATACTCCCCCTTACACATATAGTTCTATTATTTTCATAATGAAATCCAAAAAACAACCAAACAAATGTAACCACTGCTAGACTACCAAATATTTCATCATAGTCCTTACCAAAAATTCCATACTGATCCAATACGTCAAAAAAAATACCATAATAATCCAAAAGATTCCAAAATCTCCAAAAGTTACCATAATACTCCCCCTTACTCCAAAACTCCCCCTTTTTGCCAAATAAATGACAAAGGAAGGTGAACATCATAATAGTGGATTAGATATACCGTGAAGACGGGGTGCCCGAAACTGGGCCGTCATCAGCATCATCAGTATCAGATATCATACACCAAGAAAAGCAATCCCATCCAAAATATTCTTCAGAAATAATCTCATCAAGTAGATAATCCAAGAAGAATCCAAATAAGGTGATAATTATAAAAGGAGACCCCAGAGATTATGATAAGCCAAATAAAATGATAACCCAACAAGATAATCCAAAAACTGATAGAGTCTAGTAAGAAAATCCATATATACCCAAGAAGTCCAATATAACCGAAAATACCCAATAAATACACAACTTGAATTTGTTCATAAGAGATTAGGAAGAACTCCCCCTCAAAATGTACATCGTGATTGTTTCCTTTGCCAAGAATTTCACATTAGCTTGAAGTAGTAATTGGGACTCCATAATAAGTTACTTGCTTTGTTTGAACCTGCAGAAGATTTTTAAAAAAAACGAGAGCCCTAGAGCCATGCACACGCAACTTGCAAACAACTCAGCAAAACACATAAGAAAAAATTCAGGAATTTTCAATTCTCAATTCGAGTCAAACAAATTATCAAATAAAACAGTAAGCACATTCATGTAAAGCAAGCCAAAGATTCAAAATAAATCGAATTCAGACATAGACACATATAAACCAAATTTAGGCACAGAGTCAGACCAGATATCACGGAAAACACACACATAAACAATTTAGGCACAGATAGCGCAGGAAACACGTAAATAAACACAAATACGGTCATGACCGGACTAAACACATAACAAATAACACAGAGCAAGATTACAGATAACACTTTTATGGAGAAGCAGGTAAATCAATAGGTACATTCACGTAAACACATAGCTACGAATATCTACTTGAAGCAAATTTACCATTCAAGCAACCTTATAGATATCCAATTTTTAGCACAAGAAACACCAACAAAAAGGCATAATCAAAGGATCAAAGGCAGCCAAAACAACGTAGATAGGACATTTAGTGAACACACAGAAAAGGATAAATCATTCACACAATAATATCAAGAAAAGGTCATCTTAGGCACATTTTAAGGAGCAGATACTTAAAACATAAATGACATATAGGAGTAGCAAAAAAAATCAGGTAAAAAGATAAGAAAAAAATAAGATTCATAGACTAGGTATTGAAGTAATACCAACTAAAAGAGAAGAGATAGAGGTACCAATATCCTGAGTGTTTTGAAGCATTTAAAGAAGCGAGAATTTTTTTTTTTCCCGTTAATCTTCATCCTCCATATCAATTTTCCCATCGTGTTTTGTATCAGCTACCTCGGATGACTTGTCAATGATACTCTTA